AATTTTACATAGGTTATTTAAAATAATAAAGTCATACCTGTCAATATCTTTTTCAAAGATATACTTTCATTTCCTTAATCTGTAGCTAATTCATAATAACATACATTATAAGTCAAGCTTATTGAAATATGCCTATTTTGATAATGGGATTTAGGGTTTATAAGCATATATGCTTAACTCATTTCTTTAAAATTTTTCAATTGTTGTGATTAAATGAGTCAAACTACGCAACCATTGTCTAAAGAACAAAGTTAAAATATTAATTAATTAATTTGAAGTGATTTTTCTGATTATCAAGTATGAATGACAAGCTTTCAGTTTATGTGCATATTTCCTCAAAACTCTTTTCTCCTCGGTACAGTTTCCTTGTAAAGCCATATTATAATTTGTTCATTGTAGGTGTACTATTGTGTTGCTATTGATATACTGGGCTTATTCATGGTGTTAATTTTGTGTGGTTTGAATACATGGGAGGAGGGAGAGACTTCTGTTCCTTTTTTAGAAATCAGTTTCTGAGGCTCTACTATCAATACTATTTCTACTAAAATTGAATTTATGACTTTAGGTAAAATGTGCTGAAATACTAAAGCAAAATATAATCTCATCATTAATAATGGCATAATGCTAAGATCACCCATAAGATATGAGCATCTTTTATACACAGTATTTATTCTTAATCATTTTCATAAAACACAATCTCAGTTTTATTTTTTAGCAAAACCTTTTGAGTCATTTTGATAAGATCAACAGAAAGCAGTCTTTTAACATTAGGTGATCAACTTTTTGACAATAGCAGGACCAGCACAGCTAATGGAATAATAGCCTGCAGGGTCCAGCTAAATATGATATACGAATGTAATCAACCTCTGTGATGACTAGTCAGAAGTAATCCCTTTAGCTTTGAACTGCACCATATATTTCAACAAGGCAAAAACCATATGAAGAAATTCTCTGCAGACTACACTGATACAATACAGCCTTCATATCTTGCTCTATGTGTTTGCTGCTTATAGTGAGTTTTAAATTTAAGGTAATGACTACTGTATACTCATGTGAGCATACAACAATACTTTTGATTCGTTGTGGAAAGGTTGAATCCATTACCAAGGGTCTGGCCTATAAACTCTGACACAACCTTTATGTATAAGTTATTATTTACCCTTTTCTAGAATAAGGCCACTAAAACTGTTTTGCATGCCAAAATTATAAAAATTCGTTTGCCTTTTCAGTCACAAAACTACCACATAGTGTCTCCTCCATTTCAATTCATAGTCCTCTACAGATAACATTTTAGAAATCTCGTTTATATATAGTCTGTATTATATGAAAATTATGTACCATTGTTTTCAAGTAAAGAGATGGGATGGTAGACTTACTGCCATTCAGCATCTGATGACTTATTCTGTTGCTCTTTGGTACAATATAGGCTACGTGGTGGCATAAATGAGATCTTTTTGTTGCCTACTGATGGAATCTACCATTTGAGAGTCTTTACTATTAGAAACAGAGAAGTGCCTATTTCTACTGAAATGGTAGACAGTATAAACAAATATCACACTCTCAACTTTGTAGTGGTTCTGGTCTCCCTTGCTGGAGTGTTATTGGTCCTAATCTCCTAGCTTCCTTGAAGTCCTACAGATCAAACATCTCAAATCCCACCATAAGTCAGACCCACAGCACAAAACTTAAGTTAAGAATCAAAATGAGTGCTTTTGCAATGACGGAACCAAGAGTCCAATAATCCTGCGGTGCTCACCTTGTTAGAAATGAATACAAATATCAGAACACCTGAATGATGAGTTCAGGTGTTCCTTTGTGTAAATTAATCATTGCTAAGATTTCCTAGTACAAAGAGAGAGTGAATGTCTTTTGTTTAAACTAGCAATTGTGGCCTAAGTTAAGTAAAAGAATAGCTACAGGTATAGCTATTCTTCTCGGAGAATCTACTTGGGAAATATTCTGCAGTAAAAATCACCTTTCTTCAACATCTGGGAAATGAATGCTGAACAATTATTTGGGACCAATCAAGCATAATCTCGAACTTGGAAAATCTAGAAAGACTTCTCCAGCTTAAGAGATATTGTTATATCCTGCCAAACCAAAGGGAATGCTGAGTTTAAGACCTTAGATGGTATGAAACAGACATTAGGATGTTAGAATTTTCTATATATTGTGATGCAACGAAAAATATTAAACTGAGAAGCCCAAGGTAGTTCTTTACCTAAAAGAATGATAGAACTTATTAGTTAAGGTAAAGGCTAAGCTTATTATAAAGAGTCCCAAAAGTACAATAATTTAAGAATATAAAAGTTTGTTTCTTCCTTAATCCTGAAGTGAGCCATCTACATTTACAAGGGAGCCCCGCAGGTATTTAGGGGACCATGATCTTATATCTTGTTCCCCCACCATCCCCTAGGGCAGGGTTTCTTAATCTTGCACTATTGAAATTTTGAGCTGGATGATTTTTTGTTGGAGAGGTGGGTGGAGAATGGCTGTGATGAGCATTGTAGGATATTTAGCAGCATAACTGGCCTCTATCCACCAGATGCCAGAGGGACTTCCATCTACCAGTTGTGATAACAAAAAAATGTCTCCACACATTTTCAAATGTCCCCCGTGGGGCAAAATCACCCCCAGTTGAGAACCATTGACTTAGGGGGCTGTCGTTGTCTGCGTAACAGAAACCAAATCACAGTAATAGTTTCATCTTCAGGACTGAGGAAAAGGGAAATTGTAGGGAGGAATTAATGCCCATGTCTAGCACTCAGACCCAGAAGCAGTATGTATCATTCTGCCCACATTCATGTGACTTCACCTAAATATTATATGCTGATGGGGAAGATTGAGTAGAGAGCAAAAAAACTGATTAGTGGGAGGCAGAAGGAATTACTGGAGCCATGTCTTGTATGGGCAAAAGAAGATGAGATCTAGTGAAAAAATATAAGAGTTGGCCTTAGATAGGAGCATAGGGAAGACTGAGCATACAGAACAGAAGCAAGTAGGTGAGTAACTCTCGATACAGAGCTTGTGGGACACTTTTCCTACTGTCTTTTATTTCCTCCATGAAACTGGAAAATAAATGATGAGCTGAGAATGGTGATGCATATGGACAGTTAGATGTTTGAGAAAACAGAAGAAAGAGTTAAACAGTGATTTAGGAGAGTAGAAAAATGAATGGACTAGGAATGTTTAATAGGATGGCCTAAAGCATTAGGGTCCACCTTATGTCTAAGGCCATAAATTTAAAGTAAGGCCTGGTCATATGGTTGTTTCCAACCACACTGAGCTATACAGTACAGGGGAGGAATGGGGAGAGAGGTGGATTTAACTAGGGTTATAGTTTGGCCAAGTGTGTATGACAAAGTGGGAAAAGGGTAAAAAAGTCAGGCTATATGCAAGGGGGTGAATGACCATAGAATTTAAATTGTATAAAGAAGGGAAAGAAGATATCAAAATGGGGAGGAACAATGGAAAGGTAGTAGGATTGGAGGTCCCAGTGAAGATGAAGAATTTATGATTTTGGGGTACTAGGGGGAGTGATCTAGAAAGATAAAAGCTGGCAGTCAAGTAGTTGAATGCTGGAAACTAAGTTTGAGGGGGCTTGCAGTTACTGGTAATGACAAGGTCTAAGTATGACTATGGGAATTAATGGCTGTGGTAGAGTAAAGGGCAAGATCTAAAAGATCAGAGCTCAAGGAATTGAGGCCCAGGGGGAAAGAATGTTCTACATGTACATTTAAATTGCTAAATTAAGAAAGTACTAGTCAGGTGACAATTAGCCAGTGATAAAATCAACTGAGAATGACTCCAGCTGTAGGTAAATCACAATAGTTGATTGTATAAACTGATGACATGAGTTTTAGGAAAGGAAGAAGGGAGGCTGATGAGGAGACACTCATTCATCTCCAGGTCCAATGGTATGAAGACTGAGGAAAAGAAAAACAAAAAAGGGCATCTGGGCTGGCAGTGCCCTCAGAGGACAGCCAAGTTTCTGTTAGAGCAAGAAAGTAAAAGGAATGTCAGAAAATAGAGTGAGGATACAGTGGAAATATTTCAAGAGTTGTGGTGGGTGGGAGATGGGGACAAAATAAGAAATGTACAGAACTTTATGAAAAATAGAACACAGGAAATGAAGGGGAACTGGGAGACTGAGGCCAGTCTTAAGCAAGGATAAAAAGCATCTTATTAGATTAGTCCTAGTGGATTCAAGTTAAAAGTAAAACGGCAAATAAGAAAGGTAAGTAACAAATTAACATGTCTATATACATAAACTTCCCATAGCTGATTTCATTATTTGGATGCTTTATATTGCTCTCTAAATTAATTTTCCTTCTAAGGATTGCATTAACAAGTCATCTTATCTCCAAAAGGTGTCTGTTCCAGTTGCCAGTTTATGTGGATTAGGAATTTGAGTATGGCTTGGCTAGCCATCAATTAAGATCACCCAATGGTGGTACTCAGCTGACAGATGGGCTGGTTTGAAGGGTCCAAGACAGCTTCACTCAAACTGAAGCCTTGGCAGGATGGCTGGATGGCTGGGTGAGCTGGGACCGTCAACTGGAGCATCTGTACATGACCTCTCCTGAATGGCAGTCTTAGGGTGGTAGGACGTTTTATGTGGTGGCTATCTTCCTCCAAAGAAAACATTCCAAGAGAACCAGGTGGAGCTGCATAGTTTTTTCTGACCTGACCCAGTCTTAGAAGTCATGCAGTCACTTCCTCCACATTCTAATGATTACTAAAGAGTCCTAAGGCTTGCCCAATTTCAAGAGGGTAATTAGATTCCACCTCTTGTTGAGGACTGGCAAGGTCATAATGTTAAGAACATGTAGAGTGGGAGATACCATTGTGGCCATCTTTGATCAATACAATCTTACCTGGTGACACAGGTGATATGAGTACGTATCCCTGAAAAGAGATTCCTAGGTTCAAGCTCAAAATAACTAGAAACTGTATTTGTGATAAACCATTAAATTTACTCTTCTCTTTTTCTTTGGCAGAGTCTAGAAGATCCACAATGGAAAATTTACCTCAAAATTCAGAGCATTTGGAAGAAGAACTAAGTGGGTATGATAAATCATGTAAAAAACTTCCGTTAAGTATCCTCATTGTGCAAAATACTAAGTGTAATCAAATTCTCCAAACACAAGAAGAGTAGGTTCATCTAGCACTTGACAAACTAATACTGAAACACTGTTTTTAAAAAAAATCACAGATTTATATTTAAATATCATATTTTAAATACTTTTGATCTCAAGCTATATCTGAAAATTGCAGAAAACAAAATAATATCTTTCAAAGGAAGTGTCTTTCACTTTCTAGCTCAATATCAAATTTAATTATATAATTTATTATATTTCAGATTTCCGGATATCCAAAAGAATGAGACTTAAACCAGCTTTTGAGTCAGCAATAAAGCAAGAAGAAATTTATCATGTCACTTTAGTCTTTGATGCCTGTAATAGGAGTATGTTACAAATAATACAGATAGAGTTATAATAAAACTCACTTTGACTATGTTTTCATTGGCTTCTGTATTGCAGAATTTACCCTAAAACATCCAAATCCATGAAAATAAAATTTATTCCAAAGCTTGAAATTTCAGTAGTTATCCATATAATAAATTCTAAAATGTTTCCTCTTATCCATTATTCCACAAGAAACTGTGCTATCATACAATCAAAATTTGGTTGTGTCTAATGAGAATATAATTATAAGCTTAAGGAAATCTATGCTTAATAAATGTGGGAAAATTTTACTAAAATTCCAGGGAAGCTTTTCAACATAAACAAAAGGATTATAAGCAATAAAGACTATTATATTAGTAAGTACTGTTCAAAACAGTTTGCTTTACCTGTGTAAAAGAAAAGTCTTTCCTCTATTCTGACACCAAATGCATGAGTTTTTCATCATAAAACAGTTCTCCAATTCTTGGCAGACTTTGACTGGGTGTCTTACAACTTAACTCAATTCTGGCACTAACTCTCAGAAGTTAGCACAGACCCCACAGATTAGGGATCAGTTCCACAAAACTATCCTCACTTCAGATGCCAATTGCAAGTCCGAATTTGTTACTTGTACTTCTGAATGACTTGGCTACAAATAGGAGATTCCTACAACCTCCCCAGCTTCAATAATTTGCTATAATGGCTCACAGAACTCAAGGAAACACATACTTACATTTTCCAGTTATAAAAGATATAATAAAAGATATGGATGAACAGCCACATAGAAGAGATGCATAGGGCAAAGTATGAAGAGAGGGGCATAGAGTTTCCATGACTTCCCCAGGCATGTCACCCTTCCAGCATCTCAATGCATTCACCAACTCAGGAGCTCTCTGAATCCTTTCAGTTAGAGTTTTTATGGAAGCCTCATTACCTAGGCATGACTGATTAAATCATTGACCATTGGCGATTGACTCAATCTCCAGCCCCTCTCTCCTCCTCAGAGGTCAGGGGGTGGGCCTGAAAGTTCCAACCCTCTAATAACATGGTTGGCTCCCCTGGCAACCAGCTCCCCATCCTAGTGGCTTTCTAAAAGCCACTAACTCAGGTGTGATTGAAAGGGGCTTATTATGAATAACAAAAGAGGCTCCTTTCACCTTTACCACTCCAGACCTTTTTCAGGAACTGGGGGGGGGGACCCGCGGGCAATAAGAAAAAACATTCATTTTACCTTTATTTCTCTGGGGCTGTTTCAGGAGCCAGGGACAAAAACCAAGTGTTAACTTGTTGTATTACATTAGGAGCTCTGTGCCAAGAACCAGTGATGAAGACCAAATATATATTTAATGTTATATTACAACATTGCATTGTATAAAAGTATATTTTATGATACTTTTAGCTAATAGTATATAATATAACTTATCCATGTCAATTTAAAAAGATTAAGAAAATCCTTGTTTTAGGCCCTTCCCCTAATGAGTCTTACAAAATGAGAGGACACAGTTGAGATGATCATGGGTATAATATCTGCAGATCTGCAGGTCTAGTGGAATCCATAAATGAAGTACTTTACCAAGAATAAAGACTTTTACTCCCATTTAAGTTCAGTCAATATGCACATTAATTCTGCTTCCTTTGAATGTTCCTAACCCTGGAATGTTCCAGTGTGGAGTAATTCTTTTTCTATGTAATAGTGAAGCATCAGCACTCTGTCCAAGGAGATAATTTTATGCAAATACCAAAAATTGTAGATGAGATGCCTTAGGGAATAAAAGGTTATCCTTTGTTGTTTACAGGTTCAATAGAGCCAATTTCCACAGCATCTTTGATTCCTGAATGATGTTTAGCTGTACCTAAAGACTTCCATGTATTGTTTTGCTGTAAAATTAGAATTAAAGTGTGATTGTCTCTTTAAATCAACCTCATTTGTCTACATCAAGTCTTGCAAAATATTGAGACAGAGAAATAAAGTGGTTAAGGAAGGTTTCTGAGAATACACCTTTGTTAAGTTGACAAACAAGGAGACCATTAGACTGAGATGGTTCTAAAGACTTGGCAACCTACATAAACAAACAAAAACGTAAGCCTGTAAATGCCTCCATGTTAAGAAATAGGAATTAAGGATCAATTATAAATAACCAACTAGGCTTTCCCAAATAAGGCAATTGCTTAAGCTATAGCTAAACAGATAATTTCCTTGCTTTGCTTCCACATCTTCACTAGCTCCATTGGTGGAGTGCTCCTAACATTTTCCAGTTTGGCTGCCCAATTTGAATTGATTTTTGCTCAAATAAACTCTTAAAATGTTTTGAATGCCTCAGTTTATCTTTTAACACCTTCTATAGTGATCACCATGTCTTCTTTTTCAAATTATGGTTTAGCTGGGAAGAATCATTTAAAAGGGTGGTGCTAGTTAGTAACAGAGAAACAGATCAATGGAACAGAAAAGAGAATTAAGAAATAGCCCAAATTATATATAGAAATTTAGTATATGATAAAAGTGGTATTTCAAAACAATTGGGAAAGGATAATGTATATAATAAATGTGCTGAAACCATTGGCTATCTATACAGGAACAATATCCATAATTTGTTCCCCAGCTCACATCATCTAATTATAAATATACCAAAATCAAACAGGAGACTATGTGTCTAATCTTGGGTTGGAGAACACCTTCTTAATTAAGAAATCAAGGTCAAGTGCAGAATTAACAACAACTATAGCATAGATGACTACATTAAAAATATTCATACAGTGAAAAGCTAAACAAAGTTGAAAGACCAATGATAACAGAGAAAGAATTTGCAACATCAAAGAAGCTAATGCCCATAAAATACAAATAATTTATGAAAAAAAGATAATGAAGAAGAGGAGGAGGAATAAGGGGAAAAGAAGATGAAAAGAAGAAAGACAACCTAATAGGAAAAAGGACAGATCATTGCATTTGAACTTAAGTTCTTATCTGCTTAAAATAGACTTAAAATACAAGATGTTTTATGTAACTCTGATGGTAATCACAAAGAAGAAGCCTCTAGTGCATACATAAAAGAGAAAGACAAAGGGATCTAAGCATACTGCTACAGAAAATCATCAAGTCACAAAGGAATAGAGTGAGAGAAGAAAAAAACCCCAAAGAATTACATAATGGCCAGAAAGAGTCTGTTTTGTTTTCTGTTAAAAAATTTTTTTAAAGTCTCAACAAGGCTATACCTATTAACACTTACTTTAAATATAAATGCTCTAAATTCTCCAATCAAAAGACATTGAGTGGCTGAATGGATAAAAACAAAACAAAAACCAAGACCCAACTGTATGCTGCCTACAAGAGAGTTTCTTCAACTTTAACGATACACAGGACTGAAAGTGAAGGGGTAAAAAAAGATATTCTATGCAAGTGGAAATCAAAAGAAAACTAAGGTAGCTATATTTATACAAACAAAATAGACTTTAAGTCAAAGACTGTAATAAGAGACAAAGAAGGACATTATATAATGATAAAGGGGTCAATCTAGCAAGAGGATATAACATTTGTAAATATTTATGCACCAACATCAGACCACCTAAATAAATAAAGCAATTATTAACAGACCTGAAAGGAGAAATAGACAGCAATACAAAAGTAGTAGAGGACTCTAATACTCCACTTTCATCAATAGGTGGATCATCCAGACAAAATCAATATGTAAGCATTAGCTTTAAATGAAATGTTTGACCAGATGGACTTAACAGACATATCCATCCAAAAGCAATGGAATATACATTCTTCTCAAGTGTTCACAGAACATTCTCCAAAATATATATCAGGCCACAAAACAAGTCTTAACAAACTTAAGAAGATTGAAGTCATATCAAGCATCTTTTCTGACCACAACAATATGAAACTAGAAATTAACTACAAGAAGAAAACTGGAAAATTCACAAATATGTGGAGATTAAACAACATGCTACTGAACACCCAATGAGTCAAAGAGGAAATCAAAAGAGAAGTTTAAAAATACCTAGAGACAAGGGAAAATGGAAATGCAACATACCAAAATTTATGTGATGCAACAAAAGTAGTTCTAAGGGGAAGTTCATAGTGATTAGTGCCTACGTTAAGAAAAAGAAAGATCTCAAAAAAAACCCTAACTTTACACCTCAAGGAACTAGAAAAAGAACAAAGCCCAAAGTTAGTGGGAGAAAGGAAATAAAGAAGATCAGAGTGAAAATAAATGAAATAGAGACTAAAAAGAGAACAGAAAACATTAGTGAAACTAAGAGCTAGTTTTTGAAGACATAAACAAAATAGACTAAACTTTAGCTAGACTCACCAAGAAAAAAAGACAGATGACTCAAATAAATAAAATCATAAATGAAAGAGTAGACATTACAAATGATATCACAGAAATAAAAAGGACCATAAAAGACTACTATGAACAATTATACACCAGCAAATTGGACAATCTAGAAATGATGGATAAATTCCTAGAAACATATGGCCTAGCAAGAATGAATCATGAAGAATTAGAAAATCTAAACAGACTGATTACTAGTAAGGAGATTGAGTCAGTAATCAAAAGCCTCCCAATAAATAAAAATCCAGGCCTGGATGGCTTCACTGATGAATTCCACCAAACATTCAAAGAAGAATTAATACCAATCATTCTCAAACTCTTCCAAAAACTGAGAAGAGGGAACATTGCCAAACTCCTTTTACAAGGCCAGCATTGCCCTGATACCAAAACCAGACGACACTATGACAAAAAAAATTACAGGCCAGTATCACTGATAAACATAGATGTAAAAATCCTCAACAAAATATTAGCAAATCAAATTCAATAATACATTAAAAGGATCATACACTGTGATCAAGTGGGATTTATTCCAAGGATGCAGTAATGGTGGAACATCTACAAATCTATCAATGTGATACACTACATTAGCAAACTGAAGGATAAAAATCATATGATCATCTCAATAGATGCAGAAAAAGCACTTCACAAAATTCAACATGCATTCATGAAAAAACTCTCAACAAAGTGGGTATAGAGGGAACATACCTCAACATAACTGAGGCCATATATGACAAGCCCACAGCTAACATCATACTCAACAGTGAAAAACTGAAATCTTTTCCTCTAAGATCAGGAACAAGACACAGATGCCCACTATCACCACTTTTATTCAACATAGTATTGGAAGTCCTAGCCACAGCAATTAGGCAAGAAAAAGAAATAAAAGTCATCCAAATCAGAAAAGAAGTAAAACTGTCTCTATTTGCAGATGGCACAATATTATATATAGAAAACTCTAAAGACTCCATCAAAAAACCTTTAGAACCAATAAATGAATTCAGTAAACCTGCAGGATACAAAATCAATGTATAAAAATTGGTTGCATTTCTATACACTAATATCAAACTATCAGAAGGAGAAATTAAGAAAACAATCCCATTTACAATTGCATGAAAAAGAATAAAATATCTAGGAATAAATTTAACCAAGGAGGTGAAAGGCCTATACACTGAGAGCTATAAGACATTAAGAAAGAAATTGAAAACAACACAAATAAATTGAAAGATATTCTATGCTCATAGATTAGAACTAATGTTGTTAAAATGCCCATACTATCCAAAGTACTCTACAGATTCAATGCAATTCCTGTCAAAATTCCAGGGGCATTTTTCACAGAAATAGGATAAACGATCCTAAAATTTGTCTGGAACACAAAAGACCCTGAATAAGCAAAGCAATTTTGAGAAAGAACAAAGCTGGAGGCATCACACTTCCTGATTTCAAACTATATTACAAAGCTATAGTAATAAAAACAGTATACTATAGGCATAGAAACAGCCATATAGATCAGTAGAAAAGAACAGAAAGCCCACAAATAAACACATACATATATTGTTAATTAATTTAAAACAGAAGAGCCAAGAATATACAATGGGGGAAGGATAGTCTCTTCAATAAGAGGTTGGGAAAACTGGACAGTCACACACAAAAGAATGAAACTAGGCCACTCTCTTACACTGTACACAAAAATAAACTCAAATGGGTTACAGAATTGAACACAAGACTTGAAATGATAAAACTTTTAGAAGAAAACAGTAGGTAAGCTCCTTGACATCAGTCTTAGCAATGGTTTTTTCAGATTTGACACCAAAAGCAAAGGCAATAAAAGCAGAATAAAGAAGTGGGACTACGTCAAACTAAAGAGCTTCTGCACAGCAAAGGAAACCATCAACAGAATGAAAAGGCAACCTACAAATAGAAGAAAAATATCTGAAAACCATTTACATGATAAGAATTTAATAGCCAAAATATATCTCATACAACTCAATAACAAAAACAAATAATTCAATTTAAAAATGGGCACATGATGTAAGTAGATATTTTTCCAAAGAAGACAGACAGATGGGCAACAGGTACATGAAAAAGAGCTCAACATCACCAATCATCAGGGACATGCAAGTCAAAATAAGAATGAGATATCACCTCACACCTGTTAGAATGGCTATTATCAAGATAAGTGTTGGCAAAGATGTGGAGAAAAGGAAACACTTGTGCACTATTTATGGGAATGTAAATTGGTGCAGCCACTGTGAAAAACAGTACAGAGGTTTCTCAAAAAATTAAAAATAGGACTACCGTATGATCCAGCAATATCATTTCTGGCTATATATCTAAAAAAAAGAAAATTGCTACCTCAAAAAGATACTACATCCACATGTTCGTTGCAGCATTATTTGCAATAGCCAAGATGTGGAAACAACCTAAGTTTTCATTGATGGATGAGTGGATAAAGAAGATATAGAATAAATGGAATACTAGTCAGCTATAAAAAAGAAGGAAATCCTGCCATTTGTGACAACATAGATGGACCTTGAGGGCATTATGTTGAGTGAAATAAGTCAAACAGAGAAAGACAAATGCTATACGATCTAACTTATTTGTGAAATATAAAAAAAACGAACTCATAGATACAGAGAATAGATTGGTGGTTGTCAGAGGCAGAGAATGGAGAGTGGGTAAAATGTGTGAAGGTGGTCAGAATGTACAAACATCCAGTTATAAGATAAATAAGTTCTGGGGATGTAATGTATAGCATAGTGATTATAGTTAATAATACTGTATTGTATGTTTGAAAGTTTCTAAAACAGTAGATCTTAAAAGTTCTCATCACAAGTGGGAAAATATTTGTAACTGTGAGATGATGATGTTAACTCAAATTATGGTGATCATTCCACAATACATACATATATCAAATCATTATGTCATACACCTAAAATTGATATAAAGTTATATGTCAATTATATGTCAATAAAAC